TAATGAGGGGCATGGGAGCTCTAGTGGCAGGGGGAGTACCAAAATGGAGGGCACCTACTGGTACTGCAAGAAGGTCGGGCAACGCGCACAAGGTGGCGCTGTGCAAAGCTCAGGTGCACAAGGTGAAGGTGCTCAAGATAATACCTATCCTGGGATGTTTCTCATGGTTGAGGATGTGCATGGGCATGCAGGTGATGTGGGATTTGTGGGAAAGTTTATGATGCACCCTCTCACGCACTGGGTGATTGATTCAGGTTGCACCAGTCACATGACCCCACGGGCAGATTTGCTTTTTGAGGTAAAACCCCCTGGGGAGATTAGGTATGTGGCAGCAGTGTCAGGTGCTTTGCTCCCTGTCATTGGTGTTGGAAATGCTAAGGTTAAGGGAGCTAATGGAGAGCTTGTGGGGCTTGGGAATGTTCTGCTGGTTGAAGGCTTGTCGGCTAACCTTCTCTCTGTACGACGGCTGCAGAAGAGTAAGGCTGAAGTGACTTTTGGACCAACCAGCTGCCATGCTAAGCTTGGGAAGAAGGTGCTGTGGAGTCTGGAAGAGGAGACCAGCTGCATCAAGGACTTGTGGCAGCTGCCCATCATCCCTTGGAATGGGAAGACTCCAACAGCAGCAACGGCAGCAGCGGCAAAGGCAACAGCTGGAGGAGATGCAACTGCACCAACTGATGGGGTCCTGGAAGCAGTCAAGAAAGTGCAGCAGCAGCAGACACATGGTGAGGTGCTTGCTGGTGTGGATGCGAGTGCGGCATGGGCTAAGGCTTCATCAAGGAGTGGAGAGGCCGATTGGGAGACATGGCATGAGAGGCTGTGTCATGTGAACTTCCTTATGCTGCAGAAGTTGGTGAAGGATGGGAGCCTGAAAGGCTTGGAGGTGAAAGGGGGAGTGAAGGAGATTGGGAGCTGCCCTACATGCTTGGAGACCAAGTTCTCCAAGTTCCCCTTCAACAGCACTACAGGACCAGCCAAGACCCCACTTGCACTTGTGCACATGGATGTGGTGGGGCCCACAAGAGCCCCTTCCCTCTCAGGCAGCCGCTATTTCTTGACAATTGTGGATGACCACACTCGAGCAGTGTGGGTTTACCCTTTGAAGAGCAAGGGGGAGGTGGCAGCAGCTGTCCTTAAGGAGTGGATGCCTAGAGCTCAGAGGGAATGCGGACACAAGGTGAAGGTGATCCGCAGTGATAATGGTGGGGAGTTCATTGGAGCTGATTTTGAGGGGGAGTTGCAAAGGAAGGGGATCCAACATCAACTGACAGTGCCCTACAATCCGCAGCAGAATGGCGTGGCTGAGAGGTTCAACAGGACCCTGCAGGAGGGGGCACACACTCTCCTTGGGCGTGCAGGGCTGCCTGATCCGTTTTGGATGTCTGCACTGAGGCAAGTCGCCCTTGTGAAGAACAGGGTGCTGGCTACAGTTGGGGATAAGGTATGGATCCCGTATACCAAGTTCTTCCAATAGTTCTTGTAGATAGAGTCCTTCGCGTGTTGCTGTGCATACAGCAATAAACTCAGCTTCAGCAGAGTAGAGTGCAATCAGCTCCTACTTCATAGAATTCCAAGAGATAGGTCCAATAGGTTCCAGTCGATAGATGAACCCAGTGCGCGACCGTCGATTAGTAGAATCAGCAGCGTGATCGGCGTCGACAAAACCATGTAGGTAGAGTGTTTTACAACTGATGACGTTGTAGACTAAACCGACGTCAGGTGTCGAGATAAAATATTGAAGCGCGTGGAGAAGATCAAGCTGATGCTCCTCCTCAGGACGGCGTAGGAACTGAGCGAGCTGACTGGCCGCGTAGGCTAGATCAAGACGGCAAGTGACAGCGGCGAAGAGTAGACAGCCTAGCTGCTGTTGAAAGATCTGTGAACTGGTTGAAGTTAAAAGTGCGGTGTTCGGTTTGTGGTCAGTCGGTAGTGAGTAGTATAGTGTAGAGACTGTAGTAGGTGTGAGGTTAAAGCTGGCAGCAAGAGTTGCTGCGTACTTCGAAGCGGTGAGATGAATATTCGTCGGTGAGTAGGTAACGTTTAGGCCAAGAAACTGTGAGTCTGTTTCAGTGACGGTAAGCTGTAGAGTTTTCTGTAGTTTAAGTATGAAGGTATCGGCAAGAGAATTGGTAGTACTGACGAAGAGGATGTCGTCGACGTAGGCGACAAGTAAAATATAGTTGCTGCCGTCGGTCAGTAGATACATTCCCTGGTCATGCGGTAACTGACGAAATCCGGCAGTGATCAGCTGCGAGTGTAGGTACTGTTGCCAGAGTCGTGGTGCCTGTTTAATGCCGTACAGGGATTTTCGGAGATGGCAAATGCTCGGTGGGTTAGTAGTATAGGAATGCGGGTACTCTACCAGGATAAGTGCGTCGACAGGCGCATAGAGAAACGCATTCGACACGTCGATTTGTCGAAGTCGGAGATTACGGCAGGCGGCGACACAAAGATGAATCCGAACGCTTGTATGTTGGCCGACAGGAGCAAAAGTTAATTCGTAGTCGATGCCGTAAGTCTGTTCGAACTCGCGAACGACCCATCGTGCCTTGAATTTCTCAAACGAACCATTTGCATTTGTCTTGACGGGGAAGACCCATTTTCCGGTAAGTACCTTCTTTCCTTTTACTTCTGAAGTCGGTATTAAATCCCATGTTCCGCGACTCTTGAGAGCTGCTAGCTCTTTATCCATGGCTTCGCGCCATTTCTCTCGGTGAGGACTCGTAAGAGCTTGTCGAACGGTTCAGGTATTTTACTGTCGTTGTACTGTACTGCGACTGCGAATCCCAGTATCTGTAATCCTGTTTCTGTAAAACGCGGACGTTTTTCGTTTGCACCTGCGAAATTTTCTTCTGGTCCTTCTTCCCCCCCAATTTCGTCAGGTGTAACACGAACTGCTTTGTCGGAGACGACGGGCATCGGCTGCTGTTGGTGATCGCGTTCGTAACTGAGATGAACTTGGCGAACATCATCCTGGACAGCATCTGCAAGAGGAATGAATTCAGGTATGCTAGTCGAGGTAACAGGTTCGGGGATGTCCGTTGCGGCAGCTTCAGAAGCTTCGGAAACATCCTCATCCTGTACATCAGCTTCGGCTTCGTCAGTTGCAAACGCACGCGAGCCTTCGAACAGCCTGGCAGGATTGGCAGCTGCAGCCTGGTGGGCACGAAAAACGGGCAAGGTGAGTCTTTCATAGAAAAGACAATCACGTAATGGAACGATTTGATGGAACCGGAGATCCAAAATCTTCCACGCGTGATACTGTTTTTCGATACCGAGATGTACCCCCCATTTTGCTCGTTCGGAAATTTTTCCGAGTGCTGCGGTTGGAGGACGAAACTGTACAACACACCCGAAAACTCGTAAAAGATTTGTGCTTCCCACTGTACGTGTCCACTGCAGGTGTGGAGAAGAGAACTCGGGCAGGGACGTTGAAGAAAGAAGATTGTGTAACAGCACGGCGTGGTCCATCGCATACGGCCAAAAATGCGGTGGAAGGGCTTCCTGCGTCAGCAGAGCACGCATCTTCTCCTGTAGAGTTCTGTTCATCCTTTCTGCTACCCCCATCTATTGATGTGCATGTGACAGGGCCTGCTTCCGTTTGATGCCGAGTGTTTGAAGGTAATCTGTGAAGGTATTGCTGGTGTACTCCTCTGCACCATCACTCTGAAATTCTTGCAGTTTTGCGCCGGTATCCCGTTCAGCGACAGCGAGCCACGCGACGAAGACGGAGTGAGCGAGATGGCGCGTAGGAAGGTTTGCTGTCCAGAGATAGCGTGTAGATGCTTCGATGAATGTTATGACGTACTTCTCGTCTTTAGGTCCTGTCTCAGGTAAGTTTAGGATGTCGCTGTAGACTTTCTGCATCAGTTTATAACGTGTTGAACCAGGAAAATGACTTGGAAATGGATCGTGAGTAAGGTTGGCAACCGGACACGTGGTGCAAACCGTCGGTCGAGACTGCGGCTTCATTTACGTGCCGTCAGGTAAGAGAAGACTATTTTTATCAAGAACTGCTGCTCGGATTGAATGATTAAGAATCCCTTGTGATGGGTGTCCTAACCGCTGATGCCATATATCTTCTGTGGCTTTGTGTCCTGATGATCGCAGGTAGAAATCGGAGTTAGTATAAAACGAAGAAAGTATGAAAGGAGAAAGCGCTGGTGACTTGTCAATTTCTCCTTCGACGAAACGGGTAAGAGGTAACGTGACAGTTGAAGGTGGTGCTGCAGTTGCGAGTACGACATTTGACACTGCTGCTGTTGATGTCGTGGCAGGAATTTCGGCGACAGCTACTGTTGGACTCGGCTGCTCAGCTACTCCTCCCTGTTCGGCTTCTTCAACAACGTCAGGTTCATCAGCTGCAAGACCACTTATCCCTCCCCAAAGTGGTGCTAGAGTTCCTTGGAAGGCTGCACGGGTATTATAAAAAGTTCGCCAAGCGTTGGCACCTTCATCGGCTGTATTGAACTCCTAGGTATCCAACGCGGTAAGGACGGCGGCTGCAGTTCGAGAAGTCGTTGGTACAGTAGTTGCTCGAAAATCAATATCCACGTTTTGATAATCTGTTCCTTCTGGATGATCCCAGGGACCAAGTGCAAGCACCTGTTCAGAATCGCCAGAAGTTTCCTGTGCTGCGAACTGAAGAACGGACACGCCATGTTGAGTGGCGGCATGACCAAGATAAGTATTCGTCGAACTGTGCCAGAGCTCCTGATCCATCGTGTCACAATTGCCCAGTGTGCGGATTTTGTGTGCCAGGAGTTGAGCCGTGGAAAGAAGATTGAAGCCAAGACCGGCGACGATAAGAACATTAGTAACATGAAGTGAGTATCCCGTGTCGATAGATTCGAGCATCACACTTCCAACTGCGCATGCCATAATGGTTTGTCCGTTTGCGACTGTTACAGGTATCGGACGACGAACTGAACGCTGATTGGTGATGAAGCTTGTTTCTGCTGAGCACATGTGCCATCCACAGCAACTGTCAAGATACCAGGTATTCGGACCTGAAATTATTCGAGCGAGGTTAGCGTACCTTTGAGGTAAAGGAATGCCTTCAGCACTTGTGGTTTCTTCAAGTCGTGTCTCGAAATCTGTTTCTGAAATATCAACTGTTGTAACACAACCAAAAACTCCTTTTCCTGATGTGGCAGATGCGAAGTCCGGCGGGCGATGATGCGACGGTGATGAATTCTGTGACGGTTTTGGCATCTGCTGCTGCTGAGACGTTAACTGCTGTTGTGACTGTTGTGTCTTCGGTAACTGCTGCGATCGGTGATACGGCTGCGAAGTGCTGCGACGAGTTTGATGACGGCTGCGACAGTTTTGGTAAGTATGTCCTGGTTTCTTACAGAAATGGCATAATGGATTCTTTGGTGGATGTCGATGTTGTTGTTCTGGATTGGAGTAAAAACTTAAATGAAGTCCCTTTTCTGATTTCGTTGTGATTGCAGGTCAAGATCTTGCTGCTCTGCTTGAAGATAAGAAGAAATTTCGGCTTCGGAGAGATTGGGATTCATGCGCAGGAAGGCGCGCGTCTGTCGCCATTCGGGTCCAAGACCAGCCAGAAGTACCGTGAGATACATCTCATAAGGAAAGTATCCTCCGCTCTTTTCCAATTGATCTCGTAGTGTGCGGACACGATTAAAGTAGTCCATGACGTTTTCGTTTGTCATCATCTACACACTTGTGAGCTGCGAAAGTATTTTACTCACTGTTATTGTATCCTTTGCCATGTATACCCCTTTCAGATGATTCCATGCAGTTTCGGCTGGTGTGAAACTTGAGTGAAATGATCGAACGCCGAGCTGCTCCTTCGGCGACAAGTTCCGGACAAGAATTGTATACGCCCCGAGAGAGGCGTGTAAAAAAATCTGCTACTCCAGTTGTGTTCCCACGACAGGGTACGTAAATTCGCCAGTGAAGAACGGCCATAGCCCAGCGAACTGCGCCAGAAGTTCAAACTCAAAGCTCCAGGAGTAGAAGTCAACACCATTAAAAGGTACGGTTGTCTTGATCTGAGTATTGTTAAGTAAATTTGGAGGCTGAAAAACAATGCCTGGCTGTTGCTGTTGTTGCTGTTGCTGTTGCTGTTGTTGTTGTTGTTGTTGTTGTTGTTGTTGTTGTTGTTGTTGTTGTTGTTGTTGTTGTTGTTGTTGTTGCTGTTGTTGCTGTTGCTGTTGCTGTACTTGCTTTGGTTGCTGAGCAGGAGAACGACTGAAGATATAAAAAGGATGCTGAAACTGCTGCGACTGCGGCTGTTGTACGAAAGGTTAGAAAGCGAACGAACTAGTACTTGGAGCTGTAGCTCCATGCATGTAACTTGAGCCATCAAGACTCATTCCACTGAACGCAGATGAAATCGATTGCGTTGAAACTGGTGGCTGTACTGACGCTTGTTGCTGTGCTGCTGTTTGTGATTGTTGTTGTTGCGCTGCAGGTGCAGTCGATGGAGCACCAGGAGTATTTACAGAAGGCGGATTCTGCTGTTGCATATGGATATTAGCGTAGGCTGGTGGAAAGTGCCCAGAGGCTGAGAGACCAGCGGCGGTAGTGGAGGCATGTGCTCCAGTAGTCCCAGTAACTGATCCAGCAGATGGTGCTGGTGAGGAACCAGTCATAGTTGACGGTAGTCTTAATTCCAGGTAGCTCTCATACCATGAAATAATTCGACAGGTGTTGTAGTAGACGAAGTATAAAACTACAAACACGAACACTTGGCAAATCCTCAAGTGTTGGTCCAGGATCTTTGCTGGAATGGTAGACTAGTAAGACAGCGGAAGTCTTGTAAAATGTAATAGTCAAGGTTGAATAACCTGAGTATGTGATCTTGTGGGTAATCAAAGTTAATAATGAAAAGACCTAACAAAGTATTTATAGTTCTACGAAAAGTACCTATTCGCTAATGTACCTGTTCGTCACTATCGCGCTATGCGCCCCAGATGATAATGAAGAGGTGCGACTGTTCGCGTGACTGAAAACGACTGTCCTATGACGAGCGCTATTTGCTGACGTCATCCTACGGACTTATCGTCTACAGTATGATTGACACTAACTACACTTAATCGACTTACACAAATGCTAAGTATCAATTATATCACAACATCAAGAAGAGTGAATGTGACCCCAGCCTGTTCCTGCTGCAGGAGAAGGATGAAATCCTCATGCTCTTGGTGTATGTGGATGATATCCTTCTCTTTTCTGCATCAACTGGTTTGCTGGACAGCGCAGAGCAGATGCTGGAGATGCAGTTCAAGTGTTCCAAGATGGGTGAGGTGAAGTTCTACCTAGGGATGCATGTGGAGAGAGATGTGGAAAAGGGTATGCTGAGGTTGCACCAAAGGAAGTACTGTGAGGGGCTGGCTGAGAAGTATGGGCTGCAAGATGGAGGAAAGCCAGCAACACCACTACCTTCGGGGTTTACTGTGGAGCCATGTGCTGATGAGGAGGTAGTGGGTGAGAGTGACAGGAAGCTGTTTCATTCGATGGTTGGGTCGCTGAATTATGCTGCAAATCATACACGGCCTGACATTGCATTTGGTACATCATGGCTGGCTAGTGTCGTCTCACGCCCCAGTCATGAGCACCTGGAAGCGGCCAAGAGGTTGGTCCGCTATGTGAGCGCTACGGCATCAGTGGGATTGGAGTACAGTGGAGTGAGGCAGCGGTTGCAGAGAGGTGCTGCAGATGTGAAGAGTGGAGAGATGCTCTTGAGTTGCTATACTGACGCTAGCTTCAACTCAGTGAAAGCGGATGGCACCAGCATTGGGGGTTATGTGTGCTTGCTGGGAGGTGGTGCTGTGAGCTGGCGGAGCAAGAAGCAGAATGAGGTGGGATTGTCCTCATGTGAGACAAAGTACATTGGCTTACACCATGGGGCCAAGGAAGTGGTGTGGCTAAGACGCTTGTTGGAGGAGTTGGGAGTTGGTCAGAAGGAACCGACGGTGATCTTTTGTGACGATGAGTCTGCTGTGAAGCTCGCCAAGAATGCTTGTCTGCATGGGCTGACAAAACACATAAGGCCTAAGTGGCACTGGGTGAGGAGACTCATTGATAAGGAGGTGCGGCTGGAGATAGTAAAGACCCATCAACAGGCAGCAGATATTTTCACTAAGCGTCTGGCGGAGGCGGATCATTGGAAGGGCATGAAGCTTGCTGGGATGAGTGTGCATTGAGTATGCATGCTTGAGATGTTGGTATGGTGGATGCTGGTTGGCAGCCAGAGGGGGAGAATTTTGTGTGATGTCATCATATGCTATCACATTCTGTCTGCCTCCCATCCCTTGTTTCAATTCGCATGTATGGTTGGACAGTGTGTGAAAGAATTTGTATGGTGTGTGTTCTGGAGTTTGGGAATGTGTTTTGTGTTATTCTGTCTGAGCATGGTATTTGTGATGATAGATCTTGAGAAGATCTTTCCGACGCAACAAGAATCGCTTCAATCGGAGCAAGAACGTGAAAGCTATGAAGATTCAAAGTTCATGAGCTTGCGTTACAATTGCGGCGGTTACAAAGTGAAGTTGTGGAGTGACTCTATATGGAGTTGGGACCTTTGGGGTTGGGGAAATTTGTCACTCTACTGTAACAGCTGCAAATTGGTTGGGAACAACCAAGCTAGGTTGGCAAGAGTGGCCAACTTGGTTGGATTGGTTGGGAAGGGACAAATGTCAAAGTTGGGGTTCCTATAGGGAGGGAATCTTTGTGCTTATGGGGTTTCCTTGGTTGGGGACTCTCTTAGGACATTCCCTCTCGTCCCTCTTTTCCTATCCCAACCTTTCTCTTGCTCCTCTAATTCCTTGTGAGATTCTTGAACTTTGATTGAACTTTTGAGATTGAGTTAAGTTCTCCTCCTACAGCTTACCCCCCAATGCGTCGAAAGACATAGCGTCGCGAATGCTCCATCAATCGACGTGATTGAAATTGAGAACAGTAGCTAAGATTAAAAGCTACAACATATCCGATTTTCGCGACATTCCAACAGCTAGTTTTTTGTCGACGCCGTTTCTTGTGAAGACGAATTTTCTGTCCAGAATCTCGGATTTATATTTTGAGTAATTCTAGCTCCTAAGTTCACCCAGACTCCGTCCTTAATCCTAACACTAGAGGGGTGGGGAAAAGTGAAAAATAAAACGATGTGAGGGGCCCATGGGGAGCCAGAGGTGTGCAACACTGTAGGGCCCTGAGGGAGGGCAGCACTGTGCATGCAAGGATGCAGCAGGTACGGTTTGGCTGAACGATATATCCATAGGACACGCTGGCAAAACGATAAAATATTGCAGTGGCAGGAATTGGTTGTGGCAAGTTGAGTGCAATTCTGCAGCATGAAACGGGTGGATGACTGCCGGGCTATCATGTGAATATGGTTCAGCTTGAAATGGGTGCTGCGGCATGAATGGGTTGCAAGGTGCATGACAGGATTGCAACAACGCTAGCGGGGGCAGAGCGCTTGACTGGATTGCAGTATGCTTGACTTGGCTGCAGCATGCCTACATGATTGCAGGCTGCCCCATCGGTGGGCATGACAGGATTGCAGGGTGGATGACAGGATTGCAGCATGCATGTATGAATTGCAGCATAGGGCTCTTACCTCCCCCATAAACATGCCAAGTGTCGCTCAGGGCAGGCGTTCTTCGGCGAGCATGTCATAGTCTGCAAACCTGTGTGTCGGCGTGAATGGGAGGGGGGAAGGGGACGGTCTGCTGAGGAGTGTAGGTACCGCAATGACAAACCAAGCTAATCTCGCATGCATTTGTGATGACTGCCGGGCCATAGAGTGTGCAGCTTAAAGCCCTCCCAGCAGGTTGCATATTTGTACTTTTTAGGTAGGTGGGGCGGCAGAACTTGATTGGACGACGAAGGATAATGGAAACGAAATATTTGGCGAAGACTGGGCTTCACAAAGTCAGCATTTGTTTTGCGTGAGCTAGCGGGGCTGGAAAATTGGCAGGGCTGCCAATTTTGCAGCTCACAATCTGGCGGAGAGCCACCTCGCCACCTCTGCCAAGTTTGCAGGGCGAGATCCGGTTGACTGTTTCGAACACAACCAACCCTTTGACCTGACCGGTTTCGGAAAAACAAACTGGATGTTGTTTGATGCATACACAGGTCGGTACAGTGTGAACCAAAAAATACGAATCACATTTTTGTTTCGCGATTCCCACCCACACTGCAAAATACAAATTCAGGCTTCTACCCCCCACCCAACCCGACCCATATTTTCCCTCGAAGAACTTGGCGGGTTTGCACTGCCAAGTTCCGAGAGGTCCCCCAAGCCTGCCTAGTTGGAAATCCATCGCGAGCATTTGGCAGTTTGATGCCAGCTGCTCGGTTACGAGGGTCTCAAGGTGCAGCATCTTGTGAAAGGAGGGCTTGCAACCTGCCGGTCGGGCTTCAACAATGGGCTGACCATACCTTGCAGGTTGACGCCGCGGCTGCTTGAAATGCCCTATGACCTCTTGGCCACTACGGTTACTTGGGCTCGCTGTTGGATGTGTCAACTATGGGGTTTGATGACAAGGAGATAGCGCAAGAGAGGGGCATGACAACAGTAGCATGCATGAAAAGGATGATTAGGCCCTAAACTGAAGGGTTTGTGAACTACCACCCCCAGCAAGCTGACCCAAGGGTGGATTGTGGCGGATAGAGCGCCTGCTGCAATGACCGAACGACCTCAGCCGACGGCCTCGCCGCGACGTAGTGGAGGCACCACCATCGGGGCTGTTGAAGGTGAACGTAGGTGTGGTGCCATTAGGCGGCAGTGGCGATAGTTGCGGGTCAGGGCACATTGTGGTTGGCAAGCTAGACACTGAAATCTCGGGGTCAAGGCTGTCAAGCATTGCTCCGTTGGTGTTAAAATCCACAATCCCCCCATCATCATGCTGCTCTGCCACTACCACCAGGACCGAAGTGCGTGGCACAGGTGGCTTTTTGTTTAGCGCTATCACCTGCCATCGTGCCAGGATGTCCTCAGGTGCGGCATTATCCTTCACCCTTTGAGCGCCGGTCTCCTTGCGACAACGCTTTCGTCAAGGGGGACCTTCACCCACCATACGTCGTGCCACACACTGGACTTTCCGCATCTCCTCGTACAGGATCCTGGTTGGGGGCTTGGCTGCGGCATCGAACGCGAACTTGCCCATGGTTGCACAGACTGCTCTAATCATCGTTGGCTTTTGCGATGTGGCGCTGACAGTACCTCGAATCTCCTTCTGCTTCGCTAGCCATCCCTAAAGCTCTTTTCGTCCAAGCAACCACAGGTCTGCGCAACTCTCAGCATCGCTCACGCTCAGTACTGGACTAAGCGCATCTACCAACTCCTTCAC